GGGGCGGCGGCGGCGCGGGGCTGGGGGGGCCAGGCCGGCGGGCGGGGGGGGTGTTGTTGGTATCGCCCCCTCCTTCTCCTCCCCCCCAGGGGTGAAAGTGCAAAAGGAAGTGCAGCCGCTGCCATCTTTCCTCCTCCGCCGCGGCGGCTCCAAACGCACGGCGAGCCAGAGCCCGAGCCGGAGCCCGAGCGGGACCGGGACCGAGCCGAGGCGGGCCAAGCCAGGCTAGGCCGCAGCGCCCCGCGCCCCGCCGCGCCCGCCCGCCCTCCCGCCCGCATTCCCTCGGGCCTCGGCCGCCCACCGGCGCTGCAGCGCGCGCCCGCCCGCCCGCCGGCACCGTCCGCCCACCCCGGCCTCGCGGGCTCCACGGCCTCGGCCGCGACCCCCCCAGGCCCCGGGCCAGCTCGGCCTCCGCTCAGCCCGGGCTCCGGCTCCTCCAGCTCCGGCTCCTGCCGCCCGGCCGTCTTTTGTTCCCGCCTCGTCCGCCCCCTCCCCTCCACGCCCGCCCCATCTCGCGCTTTGCAGCAGCAGCAGCAGCCGCCGCCGCAGCAGCAGCAGCAGGAGTCGCCGCCGCAGCAGCAGCAGCAGCAGCAGCAGCAGCAGCCCGCCGCCGCCGGGCCCCGGCACCAGCCCAGGCAGCGCGCGCCCCCAGCGGCCCGGGAAAAGGAGCGAGCGCGCGCTCGCTAGCTCACGGCAGTCGCACGCCAGCGCCCCCTGGCGGCCGGAGGGGGCAGAGCCGAGCCCCACCGAGGCGAGCGCGCAGGGAGGGAGGAGGGCTCGGGCACCAGGTCCTCTGGGAGCCCAGCTCGCCAGCCCAGAGGCGCAGCCGGGCAGCCGGGCAGCCAGGCGGGCATGTGGGCGGGAGAGGCGGCTGGCCAGCTGTAGACGCGCCTGCCCGCCCGCACGTGCAGCCGCAGTCCCAGCCGCGGCGGCGGCGGCGGCGGCGCGCCCGCTCCGCCAGCCAGCCTTGCCCCTACCTGCCCGCCCGTGCCCGCGCCCGTGCCCACCTGCAGCCATGGAGCGGGTCAGCGACGCGGCGGCGGCGTCCTGCGGCGGCGGCGGGCCCGGGGGCGCCGGGGCCGGGGCTCCGGGCCCGTCGGCGGGCTGCTACACGTACCAGGTGAGCCGGCACAGCACGGACATGCTGCACAACCTGAACCAGCAGCGCAAGAACGGCGGCCGCTTCTGCGACGTGCTCCTGCGCGTGGGCGACGAGAGCTTCCCGGCCCACCGGGCCGTGCTGGCCGCCTGCAGCGAGTACTTCGAGTCGGTGTTCAGCGCCCAGCTGGCCGACGGCGGCGGCGGTGCGCCGGGGGGCCCCGAGGCCGGCCCGCAGGACGTGGCGGCGGGCGCGGCTGGCGCGGCGGGGGGCGCGGGGCCCAGCCGCGAGCTGGAGATGCACACCATCAGCTCCAAGGTCTTCGGGGACATCCTGGATTTCGCGTACACGTCGCGCATCGTGGTGCGCCTCGAGAGCTTCCCCGAGCTCATGACCGCCGCCAAGTTCCTGCTCATGAGGTCCGTCATCGAGATCTGCCAGGAGGTCATCAAGCAGTCTAACGTGCAGATCCTGGTGCCCCCGGCCCGCGCCGACATCATGCTTTTCCGCCCCCCGGGGGCCGGCGACTTGGGCTTCCCCTTGGACATGACCAACGGCGCGGGCCTGGGGCCCGGCGGCAACGGCATCGCGGGCGGCATGCAGCCGGAGGACGAGGCGGCCCGGGCCGCGGGAGCCGCCGTCGCGGGCCAGGCCTCTCTGCCCGTGCTCCCGGGGGTTGACCGCCTGCCCATGGTGGCCGGCCCCCTGTCCCCGCAGCTGCTGGCTTCCCCGTTCCAGAACGTGGGCAGCAGCGCCCCGCCTCTGACTGGCAAGCGGGGCCGGGGCCGCCCCCGGAAGGCCAACCTGCTGGACTCGATGATGTTCGGCTCCCCCGGGGGGCTTCGAGAAGCCGGGATCCTGCCCTGCGGCCTGTGCGGGAAGGTGTTCACCGACGCCAACCGCCTTCGGCAGCATGAGGCCCAGCACGGGGTCACCAGTCTGCAGCTGGGCTACATAGACATCCCCCCGCAGAGGGTGGGCGAGAACGGGCTGCCCATCCCCGAGGACCCCGACGGTCCGCGCAAGAGGAGCCGCACCAGGAAGCAGGTGGCCTGCGAGATCTGCGGCAAGATCTTCCGAGACGTGTACCACCTCAACCGGCACAAGCTCTCCCACTCCGGGGAGAAGCCCTACTCGTGTCCCGTGTGCGGCCTGCGCTTCAAACGGAAAGACAGGATGTCCTATCACGTCCGCTCCCACGATGGCTCCGTGGGCAAGCCGTACATCTGCCAGAGCTGTGGGAAAGGCTTCTCCAGGTAAGAGCAGGCCTGCCCCCTTTCCCCTCTTCTGGCTTCGGCCCTCCCTCCCCAGACTGGCAGACTTTGGAGGGTCAGTGGGCCCCGTCCAGCCCTGAGCCTGTGGGAGGAGGTGAGGCGGGTAAGCAGGGCCCCATTATGCCTTTCTGGAAGCCCTTTGTGTCTCCAGCCGGGCTTGGGGCCCTTGCAGGGGGGAGGGGCTGGCTCTTGCTCGGGCCGGCCAGCCAGCCAGGCGAGCCAGGGGCTGGGGCCACCCTGGGCTGCAGGAGCAAGCTTGTGCTTGGTGTGTGTCAGCAAGGGGGCAGGGGGCTTGGATTTCCCCTGGCGGGTTGGAGGGGCCCCCATTCTGCACTCTGCTGGGTGCCAGGGCTGTTTCAAGGGGGGGGGGAGACGGGGGACTAGCTCCTCTACATATACCCGCCCACACACCACCCATCCACATGTACAGATACACACGTTATTATGTTCACACACACAAAACACACATATATACAGACCACACATATGCATGTACACACATATTCACATGTGCACACACCACATGTACTTGTATATCTATATCCCACACACATATACCCCCACCTCTCACACACACTTAACATCCATGTATACATTATACCCCCCCACACATATGGCGCACACACGTACACCCTACACACACATACATACCCCCATACATACACACATATATCCACACCAAACACACACATACACACACACATACCCGTCACAAACACAGATGCATACATCATCATATTTATACACACATGCCAACATACATGTACACTATATATACCATATATACATGCACATTCACACACATGCACACCACCTGTATGTATGCACACACTCCCACATACTTACATTCATGTATACGTTATACCTCACACACATATACACTCCCCCATACATACACATACATATCCACACCAAACACACGCGCACACATGTATATTCCCACTTCCACACACATACATACACGTCACACATGCATGCACACATAACCACCTCGCACATATACATGCCACATGTGTGTACATACACAACCCCACATCCATGCCTGCACATGTGTACACACAAACACACAACTCTCACACATACACACATATATACTCCCCCCACCCCCCACAGGCCTGCTCTGATACCCTGCTCTGCTAGGATTGGGAAGCTGAGACCCCACAGAGCTGAGCTTATTCTTAATGCTGCGTTCCTAATCACTGCAGCCCAGCCTTGGCCTCCCCGTGCTCCCAGGTGCCCGCCCCACACACGGCCCCTTGGGCCTGCATATCCAGCTCATGCTTTTTTAGCCATGGGGATGAGGGACCTGATGCTTGGGTGGAAGTCTGGCTGCTGGTGTTTTCTCCTCAGGGCTGAATGTTTAGCAAATATTTAAGTAGCTTTGAGGGTGGGGAGAGGGCCTCTTTCCTTGAGAGGGAGCCTCTAGGGGATGGGGGGCCTCGGACAGGGGCCTGTATAGGGGTAGCAGGAAGCACGGCGGATCTCTAACCAGTCCTACCGGTTGTGAGGCCTCTGCCCACCTGCCTCCCCAGACATCAGGTTTAACAACTCAGCTGCACCATCAGCGCTCCTTGGTCTGGTGGGCCATTCTCCAGGGAGCGAATTCCAGCCCACATTCAGGGATTGGCTGTAGACGGGAGGAGCAGGGGGAGGGGAGGCCTGAGTTACCAAGCTGCTTTGCTCTCGGACAGTGAAAATATTTTTCCCCCACCAGGAAAAATGAGAGCAAGTCAGCCGTGCCTCCTTGGGAAGGCGTCTTCCCCTGCCAGCCCCAGCAGTCAGGGGGGGCTTCTGGCCGGTGGCGGAGGGAGGCAGTGTCAGGGAAGCCCGTCTTCCCCTTCTCCCCTGGAGAAGATCAACTTGTGGCCAGGCTCCAGGGCCTGGCAGGGCTGTCCTCTAGGGGTTCTGGGAAGTGGGGTGGCGTGGCCCCAGCCTGATTGCCGTCCCCTCCCCCTCTGCCCTCCTTCCCGAGGGCCCCCTTTGAAAGTCTTTGTTTTTCCCTTTCTTTTCAGGCCGGATCATCTGAATGGACACATCAAGCAGGTTCACACGTCTGAAAGGCCTCACAAGTGTCAGGTAGGGGCCACTGTTGAGGCGTGGCGGCTGGGACTGGAGCGGGGGAGGGGGCTGAGGCCGTGTCACATTGTCTAGGGTGTCCAGCCGTGCAGAAGACCGGGCCGCGGGCCAGGAGCGAGCCGTTGTGTGTGTGTGCCTTGGGTGGGGGGCTGGAGGGTGCAGCCATCCCTCCAGCTGGCAGATGCTTTGCACGCCTCTCTCCTCTCCCTCATGACCTCTCTTGCTGCCCTGACCTTTGAGTCTGCGCCTCCCCCAGCCCTGGCCCAGCTGCTTGGTCTTCCCTCTCCCCTGCGTGACGGCCCCGCCTGCCTGGGGGTGCTCTCTGTTCTTGGCTCGCAGCCCACTCTCAGTCATCTGGGGCATGAGGGATGGCTTGAAAAAATGGGTCCCTGAAGGTCCCCCTGAGTGCCTCGGGTCTGTGTTACCAAATCGTTCTGACCTCTTTCCTCCGCCACGGCCTCTCGTTTCCCCTGTCCGGTTTCTACTGAGTGAACGTCAGTAGTGGAAAGGAGGAAGAGGACAGTCAGAGTCTGTGTAACCCCGATTTGAGAGCCTCTGGACCTGGGTGATTGAGAGGTGACTGTATCATGGCAGAGAGCCCCTCCCATCCAGCCTCCTTAGAGCCCTGGGAATCTCTGCTTGCCTTTCTCGAGAAAGTAAGGGGTCTCCCCAGCCCTAAGTCTGTCTCTAAAGCGCTTTCAGGTTGATAGGACCCTCTTCCTCTCCACAGCCTTGACAGGTAGGTCACTGGAGTATTTTTGTCTCCATTTTACAGTTGAAGAAACTGAGGCCCAGAGATGGGAGGTCCGAGCTGAGGCTCTGACGCCCAAGTCTGGTGCTCATTAGCCTCTGTTATCGTGGAGCCAGGCCTGGGAGCTGGCTGGAGATGTCATTGTTTGTGAGCCCATCTTACTCTGGGGGAAGTTGGGGCTCCTAGGCATCTGCACCCACAGGCAGGTCCAACTTCTCCATGAGAACTGACTTCTGCCCTTTTTCCTGTGGGCTCATCTCCTCCCCTCCCCCAGGCAGTCACTCTCAAAGGGGTCGAGGAGGAGAAATCAGGGGTAAATGGTAAATCCACCATCATCTTCTGTCGCCACTGGCGTCTTCAGAAAGTTAGAAGGAATTCAGGTTTTCTTCAGGTCTAGTGCCCCCTAGTGGGAGTTCCAGTCCCTCTTCATGCCCACTTGGGTAGGATGGGGACTTTGCAAAGTCTGTGGTGTTCAGTTAAATCTTGGAGGGTCGAGCCGCAGGAGACTTAGGGGCCATCGGATGGGGTCTCTGATCTAGAGATGGGAGAAGGCTTCGAGCCCGCCTCGTTGCTGCTCGGTAGCCAATGAGGGAGCCAGCCGCACAGTCACGCGTAGGGCACTGGGAGCTGAGCCAGGCCTCTCACGCCAAGCGGAGTGTTTTTTGGAAGGAACGTGTTGCCCTAGGAGGCCCTTTTGTGGATGTCCACCACACTCCGTATGCTGAAGGGGCAGCTGGTCTCTTCTGAGGGCAAGGAGATGTGAAGAAAGGTGACCGCCAGTGTGGAACCTGCCAATCCCGCTGCCTCCCTCCCCTGCTCACTAGCGCCCCGCGGCTGCGCCTCCCGAGGGGGGCTCGGGGCTCCTGGCCCAAGTAGGATGCACCTCAGAGGGCAGTGGGGCACTGCGCCTGGTGGCCAGGAGGTAACCTGCGCTTTCTGCCCTTTTCCAGGTGTGGGGAGGGAGCAGCAGCGGCCTGCCGCCCCTGGAAACTCTGCCTAGCGACCTGGCCTCATGGGACTTTGCCCAGCCTGCTTTGTGGAGGTCGGCCCGCCCTGTTCCTGATACCGCCTTTTCCCTTTCCTTAAAAAAATCCTTCCAGGCCCTCGATAACCTGGGCCCAGCACACTCCGGCAGCCATCTCTTCTGCTCCGCTCAGCCTGGGTACTTGAGGCAGGGCTGGACCACCCCAGAGGGGAATCGGGCATTTGCCCAGTGGCCTGTGGGATAACCTGCCCCCCATTTGGGGCGTTTTTCCTGGGGTGGGGAGAGGGAGCCTCTTGGAAAGTCAGCCCAGCACCCAGCATCTGCCTGGCTGCCCTGGGAGAGCTCGCCCTGCCTCAGTTCTCCATCCTTCCCCTCTTTCTGGGTGAGATGGGTTCTTCCCCGTCTCAGGGCTTTCTAGTTTGTGGGGAGGCTCCTCGCTAGGCCCCCGGGACGAGAGTCCTCCTTTCCAAGGTTCTGGGCCCAGAGCAAGGACTCCTACTTTAGGTCCGTCCATTGACACTGCCTCTCCCTCCTCCTTTGGACTCGTGGCCAGTTTTGTGGGGACCGGTGGTCCTCTCAGCGTCAGGCCCTGTGGCTCCACTCCCTGGGCAGCGCAGCTGCTGTGGAGGTCAGCACTCCCCCAGGACCAACTCCAGCAGGCAGCCACCAAGGTGCCTGTCTGTGTCTCCCCAGACCTAGCAGTCTGGTCCATCCGTCCGCCCTCCTTCAGGGCAGCACCTGCCCGCTGCCCCACCCGGGGTCTCCGGGAGCTCCTCCGCCTCCCGGCAGTTCCTGACTTTCCCCCAGTAGAGTGGCCCTGTGGCATCCTTCCCCTCAGGTGGTTTCCTCCTTTCCTCTCTGGCATAGAGTTAGACCCTTGGGTTCTTGAGGTTTATTTGGGCAGGAAGTAGATTAACAGTCTTCAGATTGTGGCCGCCTTGGCTTTGGGAAACTGATAAAGCAGGCCCAGAAGCAGGATTCCATGCTCTGCCTGCTATTCCTGGTGGGTTCCGTGAGAATGGAGTCTGCCCACGATAAAGTTTTCATTCTAACATTGAAGCCTTTGTGTGTTTTGTCTCTGGTCTTGGTGAGCGCATCAATGGGTTTTGGTCTCCCCACCCCCTTTAATCCAAAGCACGAGTGCACAGACACACACGTACAAACACATGCACACACAGACACATGCACACGCGGTCCCCCCGGCTTCTCGGCTGGGCTGAGGACACTCGGGTGTCTTCCGGAGGCCCTCCCCTGCTTCGGATGGCTCGGACCTTCCCTCCTGAGGTGCCGGGGCCTGATCGGGCCTAGGGTTTGACAGTGTGGGTCGTAGTGTAGATGGGAGTTGTTCTGGGTTTTGTTTGGCGTGGCCGTGCCTTAGAGCAGACATCGCCACAGCTCCGGCTTCCGCCTCAGAGGCCCAGGATCTGAGATTGAGAGCCGAAGCTTCAGGCCCAGCGTGGCCAGAATGGGCGAGTGGCCTGCTGCCCACAGCTGTGTCTTCTGATGGTCCTAGGACCATGGATTTGAGGAGACCCCCAAAACAGCCCTATCAGGAGTCCGGTGGAAAGATCGTTCTGCTTGGATCAGGAGGACCCAAGTTCAAATGCCACCTCTGACACTTACTAGCTCTGTTACCTTGGGCAAATCCCATGCCTAGGCAGCCTCAGCTTCTTTATCTGTAAAATGAGTATGAGAAGACCCCAGGCCCTCCCTCACCTCGTAGGACTATGGTGAGATAGTGTCTGTAGGAAGGCCCAGAGTTGCTAGTTTGCTGAGGAAGCAGCCAGAATCCCAGAAAGAGAGAGGGAGAGGAAAGGGGGAGAGAGAGATGAGAGAGAGGGAGAGAGACGGGGGAAGGGAGCCAGACAGACAGTGGCTCCCGGGGCCGCTCAGCGGCTGTGCCAGGAGCTGACCTGCAGAGCCAGAGTCCTGCCCCTCCTCCCTTGGGCCTCTGCTGCCCACAGTGCATTTCTGTACGTCCGTGAGCCCGGTTCAATAGGCTTATGCCAGGGCTTTATTTAAAAGACCTCACTGACGCAGGGGTGTGAAACCGAATCCTGGAGGCTCAGCCTCGGATCTGGCCCTGACCCATCTCATCTGTGTATTTGCCCTGCCTCTCCACATGGGCGTGTCTAGACCTCCCAGGCCTGGGGTAGAAGGGCACAGTCCTGCCCTTGCCTGCTTTGGCTTGGTCGCCTTAGCACTGTTGGTAGCATGGGAGGAGGAGCTCTGCCTCTGTCTCTTTCTGCCCGGGAGGCTAGGTGGGATCAACTCCCCTGGGGGGGGGGGTTCCGTTTCCTTCTCTGTAAAAACAGGGGGTTGGCCTAGATGGTTTCCATGGTCCCTTTAGGTCTAACCCCCCTGGTTTACTGGGGATAACATTCTTCTCCAGGTGGGAGCGTCCCTTTCCTTCTCCAGCCCAGGGCAGAGGGGGAGGGCGTCCTGCTTGTCCCAGCTCTGTCTCCTGCAGACTCCGCCGCCATCTTGGAGTCTCAGGGGCCACCCAGACTGGAGAAGACCTGGGCACATTCACCCAGCCTTGGAGGGCGAGGGAGGATTAGAGAGATGTGGGGGCCTTTGGGAGAACCCCAGTCAGGACTGGCCTCCTGGCTCTCACAGCTGGCCCAGGTGGAATCTGGTGAGCTGTGACTGGGCAAGTCAGGGCCCCTTTCTCAGCCTCTTTGTATCCTCATCTGTAAAATGGGGCTAGTGATAGCACCCACCTCCCAGGGCTGTTGTGAGGTCACATTTATGCAGCGCGCTCCACGCTTTTAAGTGCTCTAGAAATGCTAGTGATCCATTGGGGGGCTCGTGGCTCAGACCAGATGGTCCTTGCCAGCTCTCATGTGCTGTGCTTCTGGATTCTGCACTGGGGGAGGGTCCTCTGCCCCTCCTGTGATCCTGGATGCACCCTGCCCTCTCCTCCCCCGCCTCAGTTCTTACCTCTTTCCCACCCCAGGGACGTGGGAAGTATGGAGCTGGCCCTGGAGCTCCCCTGTCTTGTTGGGCTGCTTTGGCCCCTGTAGGATCAAGCCCGGGCCGGGCTTTCTCCCCGTCGCAGGGTCAGGGCTCTGGGGCTACCTGGGCAGGCCGTGTGGGCAGGGAGCTGTGGGCAGCGAAGGTGGGTGCCAACCCCATGCAGAAGAGCCAAGAAAGGAAGCGGTTCTTCCTTTGTTACGTCGCCCCAGGAAGGTGTGCCCTCCACTCTTGCTTGCTGCGAGTCAGGAATCCCAAGACGGACCTTGGGTTCAAGCACAACCGATG